CCGGCTCGGAGTAAATATTTAACTTAATATTTGCTTTCTGTGCTGAAGGCCCCTTTCTACTTACAACACACATGTGGAAGCTAAACTTTAACAAAAAAGAAAAGGGGGCTCACACCTCAAACGAAGATTGTTAATTAAAAAACGGTGCAAAGGTAACGGCAGGGTAATTCAAACAGACATCTGATGTGCTGCCTGGTGATTCAAGGTGGCTGGGAGGCCTGCTCGTACTCGCAGCGACACATATGATATCATTTCCAGACACTGGTACTGACATCATGCGCTGAGTAAACAGTGAAAAAAACACAACCCTGACAGCTGGTTTATTAAACTGCAGACAGTGTAATAAATAGACAATGCAGATTGCTCCTGAGCAGCGCTTCATGAGATCACTGATGAATAGACATCCTTACACATTGTGAAACTGGCTTCTTAACTTAATAGAAAGCTAAAAAGTCTTCAAGTTTTGTGGTACAGGAGTGTGGAGATCAAAAAGCTTTCAATTTATTAAAAATGCTTTCAGTAAGATGATCTCTGTTTCAGAAATCTTCTCACATTCTAAATCTTAGTTTCTGTTTTTCTCTCAGAATAGTGAAACATTAACCATCCACCCATCCATCCATTATCCATAATCCTTAATCCTCATAATGCAGGACTACACAGAGAGAAAGACAACTCACACTCACACCTATTTAGACAATCAGCCTCATTATGTTTCTGCACTGTGGGAGGAAACAACTAAACAAATCAGTATAAAACATGTCCTCAAACGTGAAGTATATCTTTATGATGCTCTCCTCTTCATGTCGTTAAACTCTCCCAAATTCCCCAGAAGATTATCAAGAACGTGACCCTGCTTCTCAAAAAGGTCACTGTCTAATGACACTGAGGTTAAAAAAGCAAAAAAAAAAAAAACGGCTTTCTTGTTAAGCGTCTGTCCTTTTAAAACCTGGTCATAAAATCAGCTGCAGTCTCTTTGATGTGTGTGTGAAACAACCTGAGTAGTCATGGACAGTACACACAACATGCACTGCCCATGGATTTATGGTTTTCCTTTCCTATCTGAGATGATACCAAAGTAGTAGATAGTCCTACTATCTGTTGGACTTTGAAAACAGTGCACTAAAAACTCCATCTATGTGTGATTCCTTTGTTCTGCTGTGGAGGGATCTCAGCGTGATGAGAAAGTCTGAACCTCCTGGTAACCGGGAGGAGCATCGGGACTGATTCACACTATTATCTGACTTAGAAACATTAAATGGAATTAAATGCATTTTTTTTCCCCACAAGAGATCTCTGTGGAGTTAGTCACCGTGGAGTGAAAGCTCAGACACACCTCTTTTTTTTTTTTCTTCCCTGTTTTCTACCTGTGTAAACCAGCCGGTTTATGATACAGACAGAAAGGACAAAACACACACACACAGACATTTGAAGTGACTCACAGCATCTCATATAGGGGCGGATCCTGGACACACCTGCATTAGTTGCTAGGGAGGGAGGGTAATAAGATTATATGATAACAAAACAGCAGTCTGCGATAGTGTGACGGTACAACGGTCAACTGGTTTCTGTTGGCGCGCAGCCACGCCATTTATTCTACACACACTGGAAAGAAAAGCATTGTCTGGGATTTACATGTGTAAAGGATAAAATAGGTACAGCCGATAATAAGTTAATTATTAATCCATGTAATATTATAATAATTTATAACAATTTTAAAAAATATTATCTGTCAGACAGTAGAGTTGTAGTTTAACACCTTTAACATATAAAACTCATTCATCAGGACAGTGGAAGATTAATAATTTAACATTTAACCGCTTCATAACACAAACATATCGTACCATTTATGTTATTAGAACTTCATGCAGCCCCTAAACAAAACCAAAAGTATATTTTTTTTATTTCAACAACGCCCTACTTCTGCTGTAAAATTTCCCCAAAAAGGAGGAAACGCTGCATTAACAATAAAAACAGCAGAGCTCTTGCACCAATCCGCCAGCAGGGGGCATCAGTGTGTAAGGAAATACAACAGGAGCCAATCAGGGGCCCCTTGGTTCCTACTGGGGCTGTTTAAGAGATGTTTTGCTTCTAATTTGTGTCATAATAACTGGGAGCTGTGGGTTAACTGTTAACATAAATGTGACATGAGCTGCGATCGCATCAAGATTTAGTGTCACAAGTTAAAGGTGTGTTTTTTTTTCATAATAATCATTAAAAACATGAAAGTGAAAGGAGTTTTTTCATTTTCAAACTCTGTCACTTCGTCACTGACAAAACCCAAAAATGAAATGTGCTTATCCCAGCTCCTGAGTCGAGTGTGTACTTGCGCTTCCCGTCCAGGAGGGTGAAGCATTGCTAAACGAAGCAGCAGTCTGCCCTCACACACTCAGATAGATGTAGGTTAGCAGGCTGTGCATCAAACCCGATCAATACCCAACTCATGATTGATCCGGTTATGGTAAGGCGACACCGCTATGCATCAGTTATAATTGCATGTTTCCCTAAAAGCCAGGGTCAGTAAAGTATGAAATGTTATTTTATACTGTTAAAAATTGAAATGTGTTGTTGTTGTTTATTCTCTCCCAGCATATCTGTATTTTTAGCTCTTTAATTAATCAGCCAGACTCCTCAGTGTCACCTCCTGCAACAAGCTAAAGATCATCCGGCGCCAAATCCATTAATTAACTTATTCACATTTGCTGCAGCAGACTTGATGGAGGTGGAGAAACGATTTCCTCACGACTTTATCTAACATTTCAACAACTAATCTGTTGACTTGTAAAGTGACAACTTGAAAGTTCTCTTTTAAAAACTCCCATAATTAAGCTGAGAACATTTATTTCTTTTTAATATATAACCTTGAACAGAGCAAGTTACGTCTTAATTAGAGTCTCTCTGATGCTACATGAGAAACTGAGATCTTAGGAATACAGGACTGTCTGTAAATAGATGAAAAGCTCTGCAGGAGTTTGTTTGCAGCACTGAATACAATCCATTTTTTATTTTATTCTTTTCTATTCGGAGCAGTTTCTCTGAGCTTTGGATCTTGTGACTTTTTAGCAAATGTTTCAAATTCCTGTTTTACTGATTTTATTTTGTCATTAAATAATATGATTGCAAAACATATCCGCTGGCCACAGATTTAACAATATGTTCATTTATAAAGACATACATGGAGCTAAAACTGGCCTTCTGGTGTTATTTCTACTGGTATCATAAAAATGCCATCACATATATCACCTCTAATTCCTCTGGACGTCAAACAGAACTCATTTCATGGTGTATTAGGCGCTTTCACCGACATCTGAACCTTTAAAAAGTTGCACGAATACAATTACATCATATTTCTTTTCTCAATATTCCAATATTTCTGATTTAGTTACTCAGACTTCCACCTCGGCAGCTCTGAGGTTGTGAGAAAAAAAGGGCAGTGAAAGTTCCACTTCCTCCTGCCGCTCTTCCTCTTCCCTCCTCGGTGCAAAGACAAGTGCAGTTTGATGTTTTGCATTTATGCGGGTGTGTGTCTATTTGCATGCATATATTATGGGGATTGCCTGCGTATCTTTCATGCACAATATCTGGGACGATCCCTCACTTGTGAACTTTGAACAGATGCTTTTCTTGTTTTACTCGGATATTATTTTGTCATTAGATATTACATGATTGCGAAAGAACACATAATCCTACATAATCTATTCCCAACACCGAATTAAATGCAAGATTATTATTGATTTATTTCATTTTTTTATTGATTTAGTTGCAAATTGCATGTAATTTGAACTCAAATTTCTCTGTAGTTTATTAAAAAAAACAGATTCAGGTTGAGATAACTTAATGAAACTGGCTTGATAGCTTAAGTTTTGAGTTCAGGATTTAAAATCCGCTCCTCTAAATACTGGAGTATTTCAGATGGACATTAAAAATATCTTTAATTGTGGTGGAAAAGCTCATTCCTCTGACTTAATGTACTTTGTAGTTTGTACATGATTTCATTAGAGGTGTTGTTGTTGATTTTTTAGAGTGTAGATTCAACAGTGGGGCCATTTTTTTAAAGAAAAAACACTCAAAACTGGTTTCTTTTCACGTGTTTTATAAACTCTGACATGTTATTCTACACAACCAGAGTCTGACTGGTCCTCTGACAGCTCACAGAGGGAGGGCTTTCACATGCTAGTGGTTACCAACGGTTTCATTGGTTTCATGTTTTGCTCTCCTATTGTTTTGTCATCAGATAGTATGATTGCAAAAATAGGTGGATGCAAAGAATTCTAAAAATAATTCAAGCAACACCAAACTAAATGCATGGCTGCAAGATGGGGAAAACTAAACTGATAAATCCTATAAATTGCAAACATTATTTTTTATGTGTTGACATAATGTTGTGTAAACTTAAATGTGTGTAATCTGAACTCAAATTTCTCTGAAGCTTATTAAAAATAAACAAAAAAACGAGATTCAGGTGAGATAACTTTATAAAACTGGCTTGATAACTTGAGTTTTCTTGAGCCTGAGTTCAGGATTTAAAGTCCCCTCCTCTAAATACTGGATTATTAGTGGAGCAGCTCATTCCTCAGTCTGTGGGTTGGACAGGATTTCTTTACAGGTGTTTTTGTTGACTTTTGAGAGTGTGGTGGAGAGAACATACACTCAAACCGTATCTTTTCAGTTTTTTTTTTATTATTAAATCCTTCATGTTATTCTGACTCGTCCTCTCTCAGCTCACAGGAGGAGGACTTTCATGTGGTCGTGGTTACCATTGGTTACAGGTGGCCATGTTAGGGTAGTGTCAGCAGCCTGTATGGGCAGGTGTGTTACCTGTGGCTTCCTCAGGAAGCTCGTCCCACAGCTCGGCCGACCCGCACACGCACGCTGATCGGACCATGGCGCAGACCGGGAGCCGGCTGTTCCTCCTCGCTGCCTGATCCACCGGAGCCCGTCTTTGTTCCACAGTCTGCGCTCGGTCCCGCACGGGCTGGTTTTTTTTTTTTTTTTTTTTTTGGTGGCAGACGGAGGGAAGTGCTTCCTGATAGCAGGGAGGTGCGTCTTACTTCCATTCCAGTGATTGACTGCACACGGCTTTCACCGCCGGAGCTGTGGGGGCATTGACGCATTGTGGAGTCGACAGGGGGGAGCACTGCAACCCCGGCTTCGCTTCACATCGGAGGCATCTATCGGCGAAACCCGCCATGGCCGTGGTGCAGCTCGAAACGGGGGACCATCAACCGGAGAACGGCTTCGTGTCCCCCGAAACCACGTCGCCGGGGCTGCTGACACGCATCGACGGCGCCGTGCTGCCGTTTCTCGGGGGATTTGGGAAGTACCAGAAACAGCTGATCGTGCTGACATGGATCCCGGCGATATTTATCGGATTCAGCCAGTACTCTGATAATTTCCTCCTGGCCCAGCCGAACAACACATGCATCCAGCCCTTGGCTAACGTGACCAACCAGAGTGCGGGTCACTCCTCGCTGCTAGACGGTCCGAGGAACGGCAGCGCGCGGCCGGCTTCTATTTACGCCAATGGAAGTTACCTCAGCAGCGGCGGCGGCGGCAGCGGCCACAATGACACGACCAGCATGGAGTGTCGGTGCAGAGAGTGGACCTTCGAGCTGCACACCGGACTCGTGCAGAACGTGGTCACTAAGGTAAGCTGCCCATGTGTGGGATGGGGATCCTCTCCATTGTCATGTTACATGTTACGCACCACTCCTCCACCTTGATCTGGATCCACTCACATTAGGGAGGAATCCTCATGAACACAAAGGGTGGAGGAAATATATATATAAATATATATCACACCTTGTAGGCAACAACACAATGAGAATAGAGCAGTGAGGAGCTCCTGGATGTGGTTATCCCTCCTCCATTATTGCACTCCACATTGGGGCGTCTAGCACCAGTCATCCCTGCTCTATGTGTGTGTGTGTGTGTTTGTGTGTGTGTGTGGGATTCACTCAGCAAGAACTGGCTCGTGTTGGACACCTCAAAGTGCCCGGATTCCATAGGTGAGAGCTCACTGACAGTGAGTCATCGCAGCAGCTGACACGGCGGGTGACCTGTCGCAGAGAAACGCCACCATTGGCACACTGGGCAGAGCTGGTGGAATTTGCCGTAATGGACATAATAGACATGGAGGCTTTTTTTTTTTGATTTGGAGCAAAGGTCATTAGTGCACTCTCTAGAATAATGCAACCCCATCCCTGGTCAAACATCACCCGCCCTATCTGCGCTCTAACCAAACACACAGCAGATATCCTCACAGGTTTCACAGTGTGCACTTTTTTTTTTTACTCCTTGTAGTGATGCGTTTATGTTCTAATCATGGCATTGTGTTGCTCCTATCTGTGCAGAGATAGCACCGGCCTGCAGTCATCATAGTTGGACTGTGAGCTGCAGGAGGCTTTTCTAGATCTTATTACGCCAATCAGCTCCTTCTCCCACTGTGGATGCTGCATGCTTATATCAGGATATCAAGTTTAGTTTATTTTTTATTTTTTATTTTTTGGAAGGAAAAAGCACTCAAGGCTCCCCGAGTAAACCTGACGTTCACATCGATAATGGGATAATGTAATTAAAATCACAATGCTCTGTGATATTACCTGAGAATTTTTACATCACAGAGTGCAATTGAGAATCAGAAATAATCGATACGTATGTGATTAGCTCAGGCACGCTTGCTGAGCACCGGAAATTGCATTTTTAGATTCCGGCAGCCTCACCTTTTTTTTTTTTTAGAGTTTGGTTTCAAACCAAGCTGTGATAGAGGGAGGGGGGTTGGATCTGCTGTGATGCCAGCAGTCCATCTGCTTATCGCTGATAATGTTAAATAAAGCAAATAAAATGCAGCTGTGGCATTGATTGTTGGTTGTATTTACTGTCTATGGTGTAATTTGAGGCGGTTGCATAAAAGGCCAGGCTGATAAACTGTCTTCCTGCAGCTGAGCATGAAGTCAGATCTATATTGCTAACTATCAAAACGCTCTCACGGTTGCAAAAAAAGCAGGTTCCCCGGAAAACGCCGCCGGCCCTGGTCGTCATGCTGGCGCTGCAACCTGTAGACGCTTTGTGTTGCATTTGCACACACGCTCAGAATGTCATGTTGACACCATCACCACCACCACCACCACCACCACCACCACCACCACCACCGCGGATCGGTGACAGGTCAGAGCAGTCGGTAAAGAAAATGTCCCGGCAGTGCTCGTCTTCCCTCCTGACCTCTCGCCGCCCGCATTCTGACAAGGTCGCGGTCGGTAGAGATCGAATCGGATTGCACTCGGACCGGGCCTTCCACCCCCGCCTCCTCCTCCGAAAGCAGAGCCAAAAGCGGAGCGGCGTCGACTCTTGTCATTGGCCTTGTCTCTTTTGACAACCTTGTCCCTCGGTCTTCCAAGGGCCCCCCTTTTTCCCCACCACAGTGCACGAGCTGGGATGTGACACTACAGCAGGATGTGATGACTTGGCATTCTCCCCCCCCACCACCCCGGTGTTTGGATTGCATAGGCATAACTGCACATGACTGGGCTCAGCTATCCGTGACACTCGATCCCTAAAAAGCAGAGCGGCGTGCCAACTCTGATGAAATGCGGTGGTGTCTCCATGTCAGACTGTACCAACACATCACGACCCCCGCGCCGCTCTGTTGATATTTTCTGTCGCACGAGGACGACGTGGATGTTTTTCACCACGTTGGTTTGAAATCACCTCTGCTCGCTGCTCTTTTTAAATAAAAAAATCTTTCTCACGTTGATACAGAAAGGAGGCTTTTTGATGGAGGCAGCGGAGGTTGAGGTTGGTGGTGAAAGATCCAGAGTGGCTAATGTGGAGACCCATCCTAATTGAGTCAAAGCTCTCCTCAGGGTCTCTTTTAATTGAACTGAGCCTTAGAAATGAGAATGTATCATTACTCGGAGACGGAGCCTCTCTGCAACCTACCCTGCTTCGACTTCTCATTCGGATGCCGAGTGGCTGCACGCGGTGCCAGAAATAGTGGCCCGAGAGTTTCTTCACAGCACAGATTCACCTCTCTAATGACTCCTTATGAATTTGGTGCTGGTGTGATAAATGATGCACTTGACGTTTAGGGGATTTGATGAAGATGTAGGACTCTCCTGTTGTAATACTCCAACACAGTACACAGCAGTGAGAATTTCAAACACAGGATTACTTTTGTTTAGTCTTTAAAAGGCCAGAAAATAGTAAAGAAGCTCCTACTGTGCAGGTTATTTCTCCAAATTGCTTCCTTTGTGCGTCCAAACCCTCAAATATTCAATCTAGAATGATAATAAATCTGAGTAAAGCAGCTTTAAATAACAGACTTTGAAAACAACAAGTGTTCTTTTGCGAAATAGATTACCTAAATGATGAGTTAATTATCAAAATTGCTGCTGATTAGCTAATGATTGGGGAAAAAAATCAACAACCGTTTAGAGGAGCAGTTAACTGATGAAGTCATTTTAAAGGAAAAAAGACCAAACATCGAAAATGTGAGGATTTTAAACCCGACATGTTTGGCGAATGACACATTTTAAGGTATTCGCGTCCATTATCTGACATGTTATTGGTCCTACACTTCATTTTTTAATTAAGATTAAAGTTGCAGCTAGTTGACGGATTAACCGAAGTCCGTACGCTACACGTAAACGGCACGTCGCCGCCATTTTTCTGTTATTCTTCTCAGAGTGTTCGTTAACGTATTGTATGAGAGAGATAGGGAAGATATGTTGCAAAAGCACGTTGATGTGTACACCCAGGACCCGTTATCACCGCGCTGGAGGTTGCACACCCATAGATCTGAAAGACGATACTGAAGCCGAACACCCGTGCAGGCCTCTCCGCTCTGTGTCCCCTCACACTGTTTACCCAGCTGGCTGGCTCCTTCCACAGACCCTGGATCAGTGTGGGACACTTTGAAATGGTCTCAGCTGTCGAGAGGCGATGACCCCGCTGCAGATACCCAGTCAGCACACAATGACAGCCTCTCACGGCGTCAGCTGGGAGGAAAAGACGCTTGTGTGACCAGAAGATAAACTCTGCTGAGGCGCTCTGTGTGTGACGAGAGTGTGTGTGCTGCAGGCTTGTTTCTGATAAGTGCTGTTTTGTAACAGGGAGGGGTCGACAATGTGGGGTATCTGACCCTTGGCCACGGTTGAAGTTTGTTTTTTAGGATTGTGTGATGGAATTCAGGCTGTAAGAGCGCTGGTGGGTTGATAACACGTGATGAAGAAAGTCATTTTCTTTTATTTTGATGGCCACAGACCCCTGAATTCATTCCCTGTTGCCATGTGTTTTCCCATCACCTTTTGTCATGTGTTTTCCCACCTCCTGTCACAGGCACCCGATTCCACCCCCTGTTGTTCATTGTCCCCTCACCTCCTGCCATTTGATTAGCAACTGTATGCTATCAGAACCCCAACTCCACCACCCGTCTGGTCACCAGACCCCGATTTCATCACCTGTGGTTCATTGCCCCCCCCTTATCTCCGGTCATTTGATGAGCAACTGTATGTTAATTTACCTCTATTCACCTCTGTATTTACATACAGGCCCCCCTATCCTCTGACTTACCCTATAAATGTGTGACTCTGCAGATGTTCAGGGTCGGTCCACCTTCACCGACTCGTGCTCTGTGTTGGTGAGCCCACCGTATACCGGAATACTAATAAACACCCACGACAGCAAACTTCACATGAGGACTATGAGCAAAATTTCTTCATGTAGCCGCTTTGGTGACAGATATGTGTGGTTCTGCTTAACTGTAAACAACAGGAGACAATGAATAATTGATTGACAGACAAAGGTCCGTTGTTCCACCATCTGTCACTGGAAAATATTGCTGCCACCAGGCAACTTCTCATCCCATGTGATGTTTAGCATAGTCTGGATGCTACATCAGCACGACAGATGTTTAAAACACGCTCACACGTAGCAGGCTTGAGGCTCCTCAGGCTGTAAATGCAGCATCATACGTGTGTTGTTTCATTCTTTGTAGCACAGAACCGCACTAGAATGCGAGTATGAGTGGTATGGATTTGTCTTTGTGCTTTCACTTACCCTCCTTTCACAGTAGGTTGTCCTCCTCGTCCCCCCCCTCCCACCTACGCTACCACCACATTATAGGATTTCAGCCCCTCGGTGAGGCAGCACAGCTAAAACTTGCACTTGGAAGCAGACAGAGTCAGATAACCTCAGTGATGGTCTGTTGCTAGGCAGTAACTATGCAGCAGTCTCTCCATGTGTTTTCTGCCTTCTCCTCACAACTGCTTTTAAGCATCTCTGAGCGTCTCCCTCTTCAGCCTGTTATGCATTCCACCATCTTTATTCTGTGCATTCCCCTTCACGTCTCTCCCTGCGTTCTGCCGCTGCATTGTGTAATCTTCATTTCCCCTTCTTCCTGTGCTTTCCCCCCCATCTCCCCTCATCCTTCCTCCCCTCCTTCCCAGCCCGCTCCCTCTCCTTTGAGACCCCCACCCACCACAGCGCAGTTCAACGAGTGCAGAAATGTGCAGCTGCGGTTGGGAGCGCCTTCGTCCCGAGCCTCGCCGGTGTAGACTGATCATTGGTGGTCAGTCATTTGAGAGAGGTCAACAGACTCCCGGGGGATTCTGACTGATTTGCTCTCAGCCCTTCATTGTTCTGCGTTTTCTGTCAGCTAATAGATTCATATGCGTCTAAACTCCAGACACTGACTTCTATTCATTACTCCCAAATGAGCAAGACAATAGCAAGGGAGCAAGTGACAGAAATAACAGGGGCATCGCAGACAAGCTGCACAGATTTGACTCATGCTGACGCTGAATCTGATTCTCAGAGACGGGGTTTCTCTGCTGCGGATGAATGTCTGTCTATATGTTTTACCCCAGTATGGATTCTTATTAACATTCCTGTTCAGGCTCTTCCAGAGCGTCGGCCCGAAGAGAGACCTGGTTGATAAAACATGCAATTCGGCAGATGCTTTAAAATGAAACGCATTAATGATGCTTGGCAATCAAAACCTGCCGTGCTCTCCCAGTTCGGTGACACATTTTTAGCACTTGTGAGACGTTGCTGCTTTTGTCTGGGACATGTGACTGGGGAATGCTGATGTTGGTATTTTACCACACTGGTCACCCGTCCGTGGTCATATGTCTGATCTGCACAATCACCAAACTTCCAATCGCAGACATTTGGTTTCAGTTCAAAGTACAACTTGATTCGTCATTGTCTCGAAGGACGGCAGCTTCTGTTATTTAAACACGCACTGTTGTCCTGCGATTGCGCAACAGGGGAACTTGTTTTCTTCCCTCTGTCGTTTTTTTTTCTCCTTCTCTGCTGACATCGATACTGAAACCATGAATGAGTGGCATGCCTAGATCATGTGACGGCTGGTGGCTCTGGGTAATCCTGGAGCGTTCCATTCTGAGCAGGTCACTACGCTGGAGGTTATTAGAGGATAGACCCCCTTCAAAGAAACGTCATAGCGTGCAGGCAAAGGGGATGTGATTTTCTTGGCTGCACGATATCTGAGTCTGTGTTTGTTTACAGTACGAGGGGTTTGGTGACTAGATGAGGTAGAATTAAGGTCAACGTTGATCAGCCTCACACAAACTATGCACCTGCTCGGGCCGCCACGCCCCTGTCTGCTCCTTCCTGCTGCTCCTTTTCAGCACAGGCAGCTGCGAAGCATATGTTGCCAGGAAAACCCTAATATCCTCCTCCTCTGTGAAGCTCAGCTCCTAGTTTCCTCGCAATATTCTGCTAGCATCATTAAGCAATAGATGCCAAAGGTAGTCAAAAGCTGCAAGTTTGTCTCCGAGCTTTTATTGAATTTCCTCCAACTGGCTTGTTTTTGCGAGACTTTCAGATGCTCCGCTGAGCGAATGCACGACGCCACGCTCTTTGCTCGTATTGCGTACGAGTCCTGCTCCTCGCAACTTGTTGCTACTGGTGGGAGGAAAGAAAATGAAGGGTGTGCTTGATGCATGCAAAGGCAGGCACACATTGCATTGTTTGCACTCAGGGAACCACTCCGCTGTGCAGAGTTTCAGTCACTGAGGGAAAACTAGGAGAGGCAGAGTTACCTGTAATCTGCCGTCTTGTCACCACGGACAGGAGCGAATATAAAAAATGTAGCAAGAAAATCTTTTCTCGCACAGACTCGACGGCAATCACTAGAACAAACAGACAATTTAGTTGATTTGCAGAAGGACAAATGAGAGTCTCCACCTTTCCTGGTGGCCTTGTGATGGCAGCATGATGTGAGCTTTGCAAAGCCGTGGAGAGAAAAAACACCAATACGTTGCTTTTCAGTACTTGTATAGCATCTTAGCTGAGTTCTACAATGGCTTTACAATGTGTTTCCCATTCACACACCAGTGCTTGAAGAGCTGCCATCAGGTGAAACTTGGGTTTTAATGTCTTGCTCAAGGACACTTTGTTCTGTGGAGAGTTTGAGGATTAAACCGCCAACCTGAAGCTTATTGACAACCTGCTCTACCAGCTGAGCCACAGTTGCATGAGTGGATAAATAGGAAGCAGCGATTCTGAAATGTTTGTTCAGAGACGTTCTGTGTGTGTGTGTGTGTGGATACTTTAACATCTTGTTTGGGATGATTAATCAAGGAAAGATAACGGTCGCAGGAATACCATGTCAGTGTTCCTGGAAGCCCTCCTGCTGCCTTCTCACATATCGGTGTGTTTTGAGTGGTAATACGAGATAAAATGCGCCGTTCTCGCAAATTAAACCGATCTAATCCCCTCAGCGTTATTTACCCCGCATCATTTTCTCGGAACTAATACCTTGTTTGTCTCCGCAGTGGAGTCTGGTGTGCGACTCGGCATGGAAAGTCCATATTGCAAAGTTCTCCCTCTTGGTCGGATCCATCTTTGGATACTTGGTGTTTGGAATACTTGCTGACTGGTAAGAGTTTTGCACCATTGTCCTGTGTGTATGATTAAAAGGTGTTTGCCGTATGTCACCAGTTATTTTATCCTTTTCACCTTTGCTCTGTAGGTTTGGCCGCCACCCAGTGCTCATCATATCGGTGCTCTTCATGCTGGTGTTCGGTCTCACCGTGGCGTTTTCTGTCAACGTTCCCATGTTCAGCACCTTGCGCTTCTTCGAGGGCTTCTGCCTGGCAGGGATCACCCTTTCTCTCTACGTCCTCAGTGAGTAACTCAACGGTTATTTCTTGGTGGCAGATTTGACAATGAAGAAAACAAGAGCTGGTGTCCGAGCAAATGATCAGTTATGTTGCATTAAATTAGCAAGAAGCTAATTCTGTGTCTTTAACAAAAGAACCACATGAAGCTGTTCAAACACGCACATGATGGCGACATACATGATACAACAGCCAAGGGCCACTTCATGCATTCTGTGTGCACTGACCGACGTGGACTTTGAAAGTGGACACACACAGAGCTCTATTTATACTACAATAGGTACACATCGGTCTGTATTTCCCCACATACGAAGACAGAAAAACACTCAAGGCTGCTGTGGATTTTTCCGCAAGGCCGGCTGTGACTTTGCACTTTATATAGGATACGGCGGCTCGTTACAGATTGGGCCGCGCAGCCGTGTCAACGTGATTATTGGCGACCTGTGCCGAGCGCAGTGGGTGGACGTAGCACAGGGTGTCAGAAGAATTTCAAACTTTCCGCTGTGTTTTTGGGGGACCATCGATGGAAACCACGTAACAAATCTTGGCGCCTCTAAAGTCCTGCAGCGACGACTCCACTTACAGCTCTTTTAATGATGGATTATAATGGTGTAGATGACCGAGAATCTCCTCATGCGGTGTCTCATTATAACAAGCAGGACGTGGGAAGCATGAATTAATGCTTGCAGACTGAGGCTCTAGCTAACAGGTCCCACGGAAAAAAAAAAGTCAGCATTGTATTCGAGAAAAGGCTTTGGGGGGAAAGCTCATTTATATGATTGGCAAACAAAACATTGGCCGGACATGGCTGCATCAATTTACCCAAATCCGGTTAAGAGCAGGACGCTATCGTTGCTCTAAAGCTGTCGGCAGGTGTGGGCAGAGGTTGGTGTTCAGCCTACTTAAATGTGCATCTCGCTTTCACAATGAAACGTTAGGAGGATTTTTTTTGTTTGGCCAATGAAAACATACAGCAGAAAATACCAGTACCGTTTTCTAGCTTTAGATTGCAAAACATAACCATAAACCTGCTCATAAGAAAATAGCACAAAAGCATCACCTGCCCTAATTTATATAAAGTCGTGACTTGATAATCCGACCATTAACAATCTTTGCTATCTGACAGGTTTTTGGGTAAAACGAGCATAACCCATAGAAAATAGCCTTAACATACCGACAGCCTTGGATTCCAACATTTTATGTCACAAATCAGGATAACGGCGTATTATCTGACTGAACAATCCAACAGATTGGCTACGTTCACACTGCAGGACTTGATGCTCAATTCGGACTTTTTGTGAAATCTGATTTTTGGCGAGTTCATTCTCATTTCCAATTAAATGCGACTTGTATGTGATCTGCTGTGTGAACTTCATACGACCCAAAAGTGTCCCGCATGTGCAGAAGAGGACACGGCGACGTCACACGCAGTGAGCGTGCTCAGTGTTTACGGAAGTAAACATGGATGGTAGCGGTGGAGCGTATCTGCCACTCCCCCGCCGCCACCGATGGAGGAAACAGAAGTGTGAGCGCTAACTAAACTAGCATCAGAAGCCAAGTACTGCCTGTGCCATTTGGCCTCTTCCACCCCGTCGGAGCGCTTCCCCGGGGTGGAAGAGGCCGGAAGGTGCAGAAGCGCACCGGTCAGTTAGGTGTGACATCCAGCGATGCGTAGTGTTCTAACAACACACTAGTTATTATAACAACTATAAACAATAAATATTAACAACTAATGAGCCTTCAAGCATCAAGCCCTCCTTGTATCTGGACCTCCATCGTGACAATCCAACAGCCTTGCTATCCGACATAAGAGAAGCATCGGATTAAAGAGTTCCAACTGTATTCATGTTCTAAATCTTGGTTTAACTTCACTAAAGTTCTGTTTGTTATGCTTACTTATTTCAGGGACACAAACCAAACCAAGAAATTATGCTTTGAACCTGCTTTTCTAACCCTTTCAGCATCAGACCTCTCAGGTTTCCTTCCGATTATCCCTCCCAGCCCAACCTAGTACGCCAGACAAAAGCTGCCCTCAACTTTTAAAAATGTCATAAATTGCGATTTTAGAAAAAAGTAGTGCAACTAAACTCCTTGGCAGTTACAGTAATGATGGATAGTGAACAAAGTTAGCTGCCGTAGATGCACATGTTAAACCAGCAGGCGAACATTGGTGTTGTTGGTTTTGGAAAAGTTTAAATAGAAAACATGCACAGTAGGCGTAGGGTGCACGTTGCTCTAGCTTGATCCGAAATCCAAATTTTGACAGAAATGCCATTTGTAGTCATTGGTGGAGAGTTACTGTTCAGGGGAGCAGCTTAAAACAGCTGATATGTGGTGCTGAGTTAATCATTTGTTTGGCTGCTGGACTCCGTACTGATGCGTTTCGAACGTTGATTATTTTGTATCCCGAGCGTCTTTGGTGCAACTTCTAAACCCTCCAATAAGCATTTAAAGCATTATAAGACATTTAAAGCTGGTTTTGCACAAAGCAGGCGCGCTGATACAAAATTGTCACAGCAGCAATGCAGGAATGACACGAGGCCTATCCCTTGGAATGCAGTAAACTGAAAGTTTAACGGCTTAGTTTCCGGCTGATGGAACTGGTTTGTTTAGAACTCGGCTCCATTGTAATGACGTATAAGAGCAGCTCTTGTTTGTTCTTTGTTAAAGTCGCTTCTATTTCACCATCTGTGTACATGGTTAAATCAATATATTACGTGTTGTGACGCAATTCTCATTTCAAAACCACCTCTGACTGAAAGTTTCTCTCTCGAAACAGTGCAGCGATAATTATTTCAGTCTGAATTTTGCCCACGCTGCCCTCTCTTAACTCTTCGTATCCTCCCACTGTTGCTGCTCTCACTAACAACCTGACATACCTAATCAAAAAGCTATTCTACTTTAATCCCACTCTCCGGCTGACGATAGCATTCGGCTGAAAGAAGACTAATTGTGTTGCAGTGACCTCCTAACATTTATTAAACCGGATGCCTTTGTTGGGATAAATTCTCATTACCGAGAAGCTGCCGGCGCGCTTACCCCTCATATTGAACTCTTTCGTTTTCATTTAGGTGCGCCAGCATGTGTCCTATCTTGAGATTTTAATCCTCGTTACCGCTGATCAATAACTTAATAACGGCAGAAAGGTTCGGAGGGTGCCACGGTGACTCGTCTTTACCGCGGTTTCACCCGCCGCCGCCGCAGGAAGAGGACCGTGGAGGGTGTAACGTTGGCGGAGATGAATCCTATCTGTTGACGTGACCTTCTCTCGAGACAGCGAAGGTTTAATGTAATTAGTTGTGTGGAAATGTTGTGCTAGTTGCAAAGAATGGGCGGGAGGGGACTTTTTGATAGCGTCCTGATAATTGGCGTCGCTGTTGATGAACATTCTGGTCTCGGCGACGGATCCTTAAAAGCCTCTTTGGCCGCGGTAATTGACCAGCGCAGTGGGGGGAACGTTGGGAAAGTGCAGGGATGGGAGGATGAGAGGGAGGACGAGATGATGAAGGACGGAGGCCTCGGTGTCCTTGTCATTCTAATTTACTCCACACTGTATATCTCGAAAAGCTTTACCGCGGAACCCAAAATAGAAGGGAGCGTCCAGGCGGCTCACGGGACAAAGGAGCGGCGGTGGGACTGGACGGCTGGAGTTAAACTGTGTCCTACGGAGTCTTATCAAACTCAAGTGAAGATGACATCTGCATCCATTGTTTTCACATTAGGCTACAGTTTATGGTTCAGCAAATCAGCGCTTCTCAGCCTGAGGGTCGGAGCAGGAGGTGGTGTTGTGTTATCGCACGACAATTTTGTAGAGACGCCACTTCTGTACATTTACAAACTTAACACTCTTATTTTGTAGAAATGTGGACTAGTGTTCGGATTGTAAAGTTCAATCAGATGATAACATAAAATGACCGACATGAGAAATCAATATGTGGTTGATTTAGCAAGTTGTGAAGAATGAGTTTAGAATCATTTCACTGCAATTTCGACGTGCATTCCTGAGTTTATCTTGACGCGTACAAATCCGCCCACGTCATGAATCAGCCATTGTCGAGGATTCTTCTTGCATTTTGTTCTGCATGACGCAGTGAACAATGCGACTGGCTGTTCCACGAAGTTCGAAAGTCTATGAAGAGATGAATAATGCACCTCTTTAACTGTTAGAGCAGCTCGGTAGTATCTGACTGCTCTGAAAGCCATAATGTGGCAGGACGACGCATCATATAAACGATACACGTCTTCAGTTTCAAATTTCTGTGAGTCAGAGTAAAGCTGTGTTCCTCTCATGTCAAGTTCTTCCATGTTCCTCCACTTTGGCCTTCATCCTCCTTCGCTCACGTCTGTTCTACCCATCCTCTGTCCTGTTTCAATACGTCTGTCGTTCCACCACACAATCTACAAATTGCAATCCAGTGATTACAAAGGAAATGAAGTGGCCGTGAGCGTGCTGTTATTTTGTGGTTTTTGCTTATTCAAGATGCCTTATCAAAGGGAAATGCGACGCTTTACCCTCGGCGATCGTGTTCAAGCAGCTGTGTGGCGGCTCGGAGGCCCAGAATTGGCCGAGAGTATCGACAACATCGGGTTTAAACTTTCTATCGCTTCATAGAAAACCAACCCTGGAGGTAGTGACCAAGTTTGATCCGCCTTGTGTGAGGAACAGCAGTTTTCGAGCCTCGCGTGAAGCACCAGAAATGTGTAGTCTGGATGGATAACCTCCTTTTGATCCATTCGCATCAACAGTAAACACAGGATCTTCACAGTTCCTTGCTGCAGGCGGTAATTAAAATTCAGACGACAAGTTCCTCATTTACCAGTAAAAGCGGGCAGTCAAGCGCAAAGTTGTCATCCAGCGAATCAAATATATTTCCGCTATGCCGTCGTTGCATTATCGCCCGAGCTTATTCATAAAATAATAATTAAACTAATTCCATAACATCAGCTGCCTCATTGTTTTTGCCAAGCAACTGATAAGTCGTTGGAAATTAGAACTCGGCGCTCCGT